GATGGTGAGAACTGGCTCCTCGGGAAACAGTGATGGCCCATGTGAGGAGCTGCCTGGGAAAGGCCTGCGAGCACAGCAATGTGCCCTGGGGAAAAGGACCTTGCCCCTTGGTCGGAGCCCGGCAGGTGGGCAGTGAGGGGCAATAATGCGGCAGGACCATAACAAGCCATGTGCGATAACACAGAGCAGCTCTCCCGGCACATTGCAGAGGGGCTTGATGTAGTCACGGAAGCGGGGACCGCACATCCCTCCTCCTCAGGCTGGCTGATGAAGCTGATCGCACACCCTGCCCGCAGGAATCCCCCAGTTAGGAGACAGCATCTCCCTGAGCCTCCCACCGCCATCCTAATGACCAGATGGGGAAACCGAGGTGCAGCGCAGTTGTACCGATTCCTGCCACCCTAGAGTAAGGATTTCTCATGGGATTCAAAGCTGCAGGACTGGGCCCTATATGATCTGCCTGAGGTCAGTGGCAATGGTGGTACCAGAATACAGGAGTTCTGCCTCTTGCTGCCTTGCACTGACCATTAGGTAATACTGCCAGGCCAGAAACAAATGCGTGAAGCCAATGGAAGTACGGCTAGTGGTGCGGACAGGGTAAGGAGCAGGCTGCCAACACGGGGGAAGCAGCTCCCGTGCTGAGTGTAGCGAGGGAATGGCTCTTTTGCTCGATTCCCCCGCTGGGCCGAGCCACTGTGGAGCATGGCAGAATCGGGGGATTCCTAACTGCTGGGAAACCGGCCGCTCCTTGGGGAGCAGCACTCCCAGACCGGGAATTTCTGTTCTCCGATCTGTCCGGCTACGGCAACCTTCCCGCACGCTTGTACCACAGGAAGCATCACTCCGGCAGGAAGTGAGTGAGGGGATGGGGACGTTTCCTAGCCGAGTTCCCTTAACAGGTATCGCTCTTGGCTGAGTGAGCCCTAGTGTTGGGTTGTCCTAGTGTCCTGACTGCTTAAGCACATTAAAGCAGCTGTACAAAGCACTGGCTAAAGCAGAGATGACTCTCTTCAGCTCAGATTAACCTCACTGGTTCACACCTGGCTGCCAGGAGGGATAAAGACAGCAGCGTGGTTGGAGCAGGGGGTCAGAGAGTCACGGCTGCTGAGCCCGATGTCAGACAGCACCGTCTGCGGAAAGTCAGTCTCTGTGCCGGGGACAGGATTTCCTGGCTTATAATCAACTTTGCACATACACAGAGCCCACAATGTGCGTGCCCGATACACAGATGCACATACATGCACTAGCTGGAAGCAACCTTCTGCCCTCTCTTGCTATGTGCGCGGCACTTCTGTTGCTATCTAAGGATCTCAAAGATTTGAATGCGTCGACATGAACCAAGTCTTACAAAAACTCCCTGGGAGAAAAGTGTTGCTCTTTCCCCTTCCACAGAGGGGAAAACAGGGTCACAGGGACTTGTCTCAAGTCACATGGGAGCTGGGAGAAAACACGGATCATCCAATTCCTACTATGAGCTTTAGCCTCCCACCACATCCAAATCTAATCTAATGTAGTTTATCTATTGAGATGGATGAATGGAAGAGAAAAATAGATGAGTTACTCTTCTTATCTCTCCCTGGTATGTTTGCAATGATCCATCACTTTTATCTGTAAGATAAAGAAACTGTAAAACAAAATGGCTTTCTTGTAGTAACCTTCCCTGGCCAGCCACCCTCCCCACTGCACATCCAGCTGTGTCCTGTAATCAGTCCCCGGTGTCTAATTTGAGTCCCAAAGTCCCACTGTACACAGAAGGGGAGTCCAGTCTGTTCTTACCGTGGTTCAATACCATGCTCCCTGTGGGACTACTAAAGACAGCTCATGGATTGCAAGGGGATGACTCATGACGCCCGAGCTATAGACAGGCACGGGCAGGGAGCTGCAGCTGGGAAGTCCCTCGCCATGACTGGCTGAACTACGGATACCATGTCCTGGAGGAACACCGACCCCCCTATCCAGGCCCGGCTCCTCCATTCATCCTCCCGTCGGTGTCAGGGCAGAATGGATGGGGAGGAGCAACGTGCTGCTCCAGGAACGTCTGGGACATGGACAGGGACCATATCTGCACTAGGGATCCCTGCCCACTTCCTGCATCTTGCCAAGGGTAGCAATACTTGGAAAGTCAGGGGGAAAGGTTATAGCTTCTGCTTATCCACAGCGAGGTGAGCTGGCCTCTGCTCCTTCCATTCCACTGAAGTGGAGTTGTAACCCAAAGAGACTGGAGCCAGTCCCATATTTTACAAGGTAGCAGCCTCCTCCCCTCTCCCCTGCTGCAGCGGATAGCTCAGACTAGTCATTGCCTCCATGGGATGGCAGAACAGACGCCACTGCTCAGTCAGCCAGCTCATCCGGTGGACACGTTGGCTGCGCACTGCCCCGTCCAAGGCACGGAGCAGGATGTACTGAGGATGTGCCCACCGGACTTTCCCATCTGAGCCCAGCGTCTGCTTGTCACTGCAGTGACCTCACTCCCTGGCACCCAGGGCTTTACATGCTTGTGAATTCGCACGGACTGCACCCAGTGGGTTGGATGCTGCACAGCAACAGCTGGAACAGAGCTCACATGCTCCTGCTCCAAAAGTGTGTGGGGGAAGGTCCCCCAACTACGTGGGGGCGATGGAGTATCTCCGGACAGCTGGCTGCGTGGGTCTAGGATCCACTGGCGTCATTCTGGTTCCATCTGTTGCACAGCTGTGTGGCATGCTCCCCCTTTGACTATTCCACCTCTCACTCCCCACTTTCCTCTTGGTCTTAAAGCCCAAATTCTTCTGCAATAGCTGGTTCTCCTTTAGACAAAGGACAAACAACAAAGGAACCTCACCCTTGCGGCCATCACGTGGACAGATGAACAGCCAGGGTGCTTTGAACTCTGCCTGGAGAAGACGTGAGCTGGTGCTACTATTCTGTTTAAGGAACAAAGATTTGCTACTGGTCTGTCTGGGCAAGGGAGTGATATGGCCCCCGTGACTGCCATATCGGGGCACTTGCAATCTGTTATGTAGGTACCTCGCAGCCTTCCAGCAAGGCAGGGAGGCGCTCTTGTCCTCATTGTGCAGACAGGCAATGGAGAGGCCAAGGTTCAGGTCTTCAAATGTACGTAGGTGCCTAACTCAACAAAAGTCAGGCACTAGATTCCTTTATGGGAGGACACAGGAGCACAATTCTCAACAGATTGGAAAGCTGGGCTGCAGCTAATGCGATGAAGTTTGATGCTGACAAATGCAAAGTGCTACACCTTAGGAAGAATAATCAAACATACAAATACAACATGGGTGACGCCTGGCTGGATGGCAGCACTATGAGAAGGATCTGGGAGTCATGGTAGATCACTGACTCAGTATGAGTCTGCAGTGTGATAAAGATGCACAAAAGGCAGACAGTTTTGGGATGCATCAATAGAAGCATTAGATGTAGGACACCGGAGGTGACAATGCCTCTACTCAGCACTGGTCAGGCTTCATCTGAAGTATTGTGTGCAGTTTTGGACTCCACCTTTTAAAAGGGATGTGGAAAGTTTGAGAAGGTCCAAAGGTGGGCAATAAAAATGATAAAGGGCTTGGAAGGCAAGTCATACAAGGAGAGGCCGAAGAAGCTAGGCAAATAGGCATGTTCAGCTTGTGGAAAAGGCGCTTAAAAGGGAGCACAACAGCAGTCTTTAAATACTTGAAGGGCTGCCAAAAGGAAGAGAGAGAACACCATTTATCTCTTGCTGCAGAGAGTAGGACGTGGACCAATGGCTTGAAGTTGCAGTGGAGTTTAGATTGGGTATCAGGATATTCTTCACTGTTAGAACCGTGAGACAGTGGAATAGGCGGCTTGGAGAAGCTGTGGGAGGAATCGCCATCACTGGGGGTGTTGAAGAGGAGGTTAAATAGTCACTGGTCAGAGCTGATCTAGGCCAGGGGTCGGCAATGCTTTTGGGCAGAATGCCGAAGCACCCCAACCTCAATTTGTAAGATGTTGGCGTGCCAGGGACAGATGGTGGGGCGGCAAAGCCCTGGCCCCTTCCCTGCCATCTGTCAGGAGGTGCCTATGCGCCTGCCACCAGCAATGAGCTGGGCCGAGGCTCCACAGACCTGGGTGTAGCAGCTTGCATCCTCCCAGCTGCCTGCCACAGCCAGCCTAGCCTCTGGGCAGACCCCTAGCACCCACCACGGAGCCCAGGCTGCTTTCAGCAAGCGGCAGGGAAGTTGCCAGCTACTGCATCGAGGTCAGTGGAGCTGCGGCCCAGCTCGTTGCTGGTGGTGGGTGCACATGCACCTCCACGAGGAGCCCGATTCCTGTTGTGGCATTGCAGCCCCAGCCCCTTCCCCACCGTCCACCCCGAGGCACACATGCCAAGCAAAATGCCTTTGTGTGCTATGCTCTGGCATGCATGCTGGGGGTTGCTGACCCCTGATTTAGACCTAGCAATGTCTATGTTCTTCTATGGGTATGGTCCATGCTTCTGGGTTGTCTGGTTGCCACATGGGGCTGGGAGGGAATTCCACCCCACCCTTTGCTGCTACATGGGTTGGGGTTTTTTAAGCCTTCTTCAGAGGCATTGGGTGTTGGCTGTAGCCAAGGCTGGGGGTTTTGATTGGGGTGTGCCCATGCTCTTGCTAGGCCTTACAGCTGGAAATTCCTGGCTAGAGGGTCAGACTGATGGCCAGATTTGGGGTCAGGAAGGGATTTTACCCCATGGTCAGATTGATATGGACTTTGGGGGTTTGTGACTTCCTTCCTCAGTAGCAGGAGGCGTGGTCCTCTACCTGGGATCTCTTGAGTATGTATTAACCTTTTACAGAAGCAGGGCATTGGGCACCATGGTCTCCCTGCTACACTTCTGGCTGATTAAGGTGTTATGTGTTGTGTTGTCAGGGTTGAGAGTAGTTTTACTAAGAGGTCAGATCCTTAGTAAAACTTCTACGGGACGGTTTGGATAGGGGTGATCCTGCCTCAGGCAGA